CAGGTTTTTAATCTTTTTCATAGCCATGGACAGCCTACGTTCTTGTGCTGCTTCTTCAAGTTATCTTATATTCAATTATTCAGAAATTGAAAGTTGGCTCGTAATGACGTCGTTCTATCCAGCTAATTCTCCTATTCAGATAGAAATGCATTCATCACGTATACTATTCATAATGCTTTATAATGTGTGAATTTAACAAAAAGTATATTATTATTTTGGATATATTTGTACAGCGAATTAAATCCTTAGAACGTTTTTCGCTATAAATAGTCACTCCTGCACCAACCGGCATCTCTGTCGTATCAACTTCTAGTCATGAGGCTGTGATTTCATTTAATGCTTCCGACGAAGCAATCGCTTATATTGTCATTCCAATGACTAGCGCGGTGATTGCAAGCAACAGATACATACGGGTATCATCTGGCCCTCAGAATCTGACAGTTATTGGACTTCCACCTTGCAGCACTTTCCTTTTACGCATCTCAGCTATTTCCACTGATGGCTGGTCTATCATGGAAACGTCCATTTTAGTCACAACTAGTAAGTCAGATCAAGTAGTATATTTATATATATGTATCACTATTTCTATATATTCCTTTCTCTCTCTCTCTGTGTGTCTATATATATATATATATAGAGAGAGAGAGAGGGGAAGAGAGAGAATGATGCGAAGTGCGATAGGCCTGTATCGTATATCAAGAATTACATACTGGGCCTAGAGAGTATTTGAATTCCAGGCTATGTCGGAGCTTCTACAATTATGCTCATTTTACTTTGCTTCCGGAATAAGACCAAAGAGTTTTTGTAGGAGAAAGTAAAAGAACTAATGGGTAGGAAGTAAGATTGAGAGGATGTGAAATAAATTCAGAATAGTATCTTTGCAGTATATTTTGATTCCTTATGAACGTTTACAGCATTTCGAGATTTTTAATCATTTGCATCGGGTGTGGGTACTTACAAAACTACCCCCTGTAGAGTTTAAGTTGTATTTTTACCCCGAATAATCAAAATATGTTTATAAGTTAAACAAGTAATTTTCGAATATGTCTGAAGACCTTATATATGTACC